GTAATCACAGTCTTACTAGAGTTGGCAGAAAGCCCAGAAACAATTTTGCAGAGAACTAAGATCAAGACGCAAAGGAGAGTGAACTAAAGTTGTTCCCTACAAATTGCTTCAATCGGCGTTCCTCCTTAAATAGGCTAAGGGAGTGGCCAATTAACCCCATGCCTTACTCTCGAGGAGACCTCCTCCTGAGGAGCCACTCCTGCCTTTTGGCAGCTCTGCGTGCCCATGCATTGAGAAGAGGCTTCTCCTCTTCTTCCTCTTCACCCATGGAAGCTTCTGGAGATTCTGAAGGCCCTGGCTGAATCCCTGCCTCTGGCACCACCTCTTCTCCAGCCTCCTCATTGTCCGACTCGAGCGCCAGCTGCACAGGCTGCTGACACAACACCACACCAGCCTCCTCGTTGTTGGAATCAGCTACAATCTGCACAGGCCGCTGATGGGCCACAACATCCTGTAAGCCCCTTAGAGGTTACAATTAGTCCTTGACTTATGACCATAATGGAGCCCAACATTTCTGTTGCTAAGTCAAACATTTCAGTGAATTTTGCCTCATTTGCGAACCTTTCTTGTCACCGTTGTTAAGTGAAACACCGCAGTTGTTGAACTTAGTAACCCGGTTGTTAAGTGAATTTGGCTTCGTCATTGACTATGCTTGTCAGAAGGTCGCCAAAGGGGATTGCGTGACCCCGGGACATTGCAACCGTCATAAATAGGAGTTGGTTTGCAAGCATCAGAATTTTGATCACGTGACCATGGGGATGTTGCAATGGTCGTAAGTGTGAAAAATGATCATACCACGCTTTTTTCCAGTGAAATTGTAACTTCAAAGATTCTTTAAATGAAATGTTGTAAGTTGAGAGCTATCTATAATAGCAAGAGCAATAGCCCTTAGACTTATATACCGCTTCATAGTGCTTTTACAGCCATCTCTAAGCGGTTTACAGAGTCAGCCTATGGCCCCCAACAATCTGGGTCCTCATTTTACCCACCTCGGAAGGATGGAAGGATGAGTCAACCTTGAGCTAGTCAGCATCGAACTTCTAGCAGTGGGCAGAGTTAGCCTGCAATACTGCATTCTAACCACTGCGCCACCATGGCTCCTGTATTAACTGCTTATTCTGGCGCACATACATACACGGCCCAGTTCGGATGATAAAATAAAACCAAGCCGAATTGAAAAAGTAGAGAATATTTGTAGCTCGAGATTGGAGTGTTTTCTGGCTTGGTTTTCATTTGCAAATGGTTTACTACTTAGCTTACATCTTCAACGTTGGCTTTTATTCGCCCGTAAACATACGAGACGACTCATTGATTCATCATCTATCGAATGGCGATTCGAAGAGAACGTTTGTCTATGTATTTAGACTTAAGACTTAGAATAACTTTATTGTCACTCTGAAGGCACACTAATCGGCATACATTAAAATGAAATTTCACTGCCTACAGCTCTCAAAGGGTCACCGCCTCCAATAAACACTACATCAGGGGTGAAATTCAGCAGGTTCTGACAGGTTCTGGAGAACCGGTAGCGGAAATTTTGAGTAGTTCAGAGAACTGGCAAATGCTACCTTTGGCTGGCCCCAGGAGTGGGATGGGAATGGGATTTTGCAGTATCCTTCCCCTGCCATGCCAACGAAGCCATGCCCACCAAGCCATGCCCACAGAACCAGTAGTGAAAAAATCTGAATTCCACCACTGCACTACATATTATACAATATATAGTCCATATTAATATATACTCCAATATACACTACATAAAGAGAGAGAGATGATAGATAGATGATAGATAGATAGATAGATAGATAGATAGATAGATAGATAGATATAAAAATTATGCATATACCCACATATATGATATGATATGGAGAAACAACACAGAACCAAGATATGGAGAAAAAAAAAACAATCTTGTGAGTTTAATATATACTCCAATATATACTACATAAATTTGACAAGAGAGAGAGATGATAGATAGATGATAGATAGATAGATAGATAGATAGATAGATAGATAGATAGATAGATAGATAGATAGATACATAGATAGATAGATAGATAGATAAAAATTATGCATATACCCAAATATATGATATGATATGGAGAAACAACACAGAACCAACATATGGAGAAAAAAAAACAAATCTTGTGAGTTTGCCAGATGGATGGATGGCATAGGGAACAAAACTGTTACAGAATCTGCTAGAAATACTCCGAAACCTCCACCCAGAGAGGAGCAACAGAAACAGACTGTAAAGTGGGTGTCTGGGGTTTCTAATGATGCTTCGAGTTCTAAGCCCATAGCACTTATAAGCAGTATCCTGAATAACAGAAGCGAGCTTCCTATCATCGTCTCGGTTGTCCTCACCACTCTCTGTAGGGACTTTCTATCTGAGGTACTGCGGCCACCACAAACCAAACACTAATGAAGTTTGTTAAAACGCTCTCCATCGTGCCTCTGTAAAAAGTGGCGAGGACCGAAGGAGAAAGTTGTGCTCTCCTATTTTTATTTTTTATTTTTTTTAACAAGTGAGGTAGGCAGGCTGGCATGTGCTCCATCAGAGTTTCCGCCAGCGATGCCTATCGAGAGAAGTCAGCGGGATTAATTTTGAAAACCGACGGATAATGAAGAAAATAACTTTCTAGACGCCGGGGTGACAGTAGCAGCTGGAAAGCAAACAGTCCTTAATTAAAAGGGGAAAAAAGTCCGGATGCTTTGACAGACAGAATGTGTGTTTTTTTTTCTTTTTATATTACCTTTCAATGGGTTCTTTTTTTTCCCCCTTCCTTCGCTCTTGTTTCTGTCTACGAACTCAGCATGACGCAGACGCTTTCATTCCACTTACCAAGTCATCAGTTTAAAAGGGCTGCTCTGTGTCTTTGGCACTGGGCACTTTACAAGATCTCCTCGAATTTAGTAATCAGAGCTAATTCCTAACATGCCCTGCAAAAAATATATATATATACATATATATTTGCAGGCGGGGAATGAAATTCAAATGGAAACTCTATCAGCTAACCTCACACGTTATTTTCACTGAAACCTGAGGGGTACCAAGCGTTTACACGATAACGGAAAACTGACAGTCCCAATGACAGCTTCCTGGCCCAAAGCCCACGTTCTGTCTCAGATCTTCTGCAGAGAAAGAGGCTGATGGTTAGCAGCCACAGATCCAAATTGTTATAGAAGATGACAAAAAAAAGGGAGCAGGGAGATTTGGAAACTCTTCGGGAGATAGAGCAATATGCATAAATGGATCCAGACGGCGAGCAAACCAGGCTCAAAAAATGCAGACACAGCTTTTATTGTCCCACGCCGGAGTTGGCTTGGACGCTTAAAAGCATCTCGTTCTCTCTTCAGCGTAAGTTTTCAGTTGAGGGGGACGTTGTATTTCTAGATTACTATTCATCCCCTCAGGGAACCGTATGTTTTGGGAAGGTCAGCATGCAAGAGGGTCTATGACAATTTGACACGGCCAACTCGCCATGGCCAACTCACCATGGCCAACTCACCATGGCCAATTCACCATGGCAACTCGCTAGCCAACTCGCCATGGTCAACTTGCCATGGCCAATTCACCATGGCCAACTCTCCATGACCAACTCTCCATGACCAACTCACCATGGCCAACTCTCCACGACCAACTCTCCATGACCAACTCAGCATGGCCAACTCTCCATGGCCAACTCTCATGGCCAACTCTCCATGGCCAACTCTCCATGGCCAACTCATCATGGCAACTCTCCATGGCCAACTCTCCATGGCCAACTCTCCATGGCCAACTCTCCATGGCCAACTCCCCATGGCAATTCTCCATTGCCAACTCTCCAGGACCAAATCAGCATGGCCAACTCTCCATGGCCAACTCACCATGGCCAACTCTCCATGGCCAACTCTCCATGGCCAACTCATCATGGCCAATCTCCTGGCCAACTCTCCATGGCCAATTCTCCATTGCCAACTCTCCAGGACCAACTCAGCATGGCCAACTCTCCATGGCCAACTCTCCATGGCGCTGCATACCTTCCAAAGCATTCACATTAACACAGGGAGGTTTAAATTGATCACATGCAAGGGCATTAAAGGAGTCAGGACTCAAAACATCCACGGCTTGAAATTTCAGAGAGAACACTGTATAAACATTGTTAGGAGCAAAAAAAAAAAAAAACTCAACACACATATGGAAATTAGGTAGATGAAGGTGTGTTTTATTTAGTGGTTCATTACTGGGAAAGGAAAGATAAAGAGGAAGAGGAAGGGAAAGGAAAGGAAAGGAAGATAAAAGAAGAAGGAAAGGAAAGGGAAAAGAAAGGAAAATAAAAGGGAAGGGAGGATAAAAGAGGAAGGAAAGAAAAGATAGATAGACAAAGAAAAGAAATGGAAAATTAAAAAGTCAAGAAAGGAAAGGAAAGGAAAGGAAAGGAAAGGAAAGGAAACGAAAGGAAAGGAAACGAAAGGAAAGGAAAGGAAAGGAAAGGAAAGGAAAGGAAAGGAAGTAAATAGATGGGGAAAGGAAGGAAGGAGGAAAGGAAAGGAAAGAACAGGAGGAAGAGGGAAGGAAGGGAAGGGAAAGGGAAAGGGAAAGGGAAAGGGAAAGGGAAAGGGAAAAGGAAAGGGAAAGGACAGGACAGGAAAGGAAAGGAAAGGAAGAGGAAGAGGAAGAGGAAGGCAAGGAAAGGGGAGGGGAGGAGAGGAGGAGGCAGGGAAAGAAAGGAAAGGTGGAAGGAAAAGAAAGGAAAAAGGGGAAGAGAAGGAGAGGAAGGAAAGGAGAGGAAGGGAAAGAAAAGGAGGACAGGAAAAAAGGAGAAGGAGAAGAGAAGGAGAGGAGAGGAGGAAGAGAGGAAGGGAAAGAAAGGAAAGGAAAGGAAAGGAAAGGAAAGGAAAAGGAAAGGAAAGGAAAGGGAAAGGAAAGGAAAGGAAAGGAAAGGAAAGGAAAGGAAAGGAAAGGACGATAAAAGAAGAAAGAATGCCAAGGATACAATATTCTACAACCACGTACTTACCATTGAATGTCAAGAACACTCTCGGCTGAGGCTGCAAAGATCCTTTTACACAGCAAGAGCAAAGAAACACTCCAATCAACACCTGCAGACTTGGAGGTGTCATTCTCGTAGGATGCAAAGCTTAATATCCAAGAGTGGAAACCTGAAAGGAGAATGAAGAGAGAAATTTGACACAGTTCACCACACGTGTGGGATCAAGGGGAGAACACAATCCAGCTTGACCAGAACTGATGGTTTGCATCGTTCTTCAAAATCGGGCAGGGCAAGCAAGTGGGGGAAAAAAAAGAAAAAAGAAAAAAGAAAAGAAAGGAAACAGGAGTTCAACAAAATCCACGCTAAGAATGAACTTCAGTTTATTCCACTAAGGACGATTCCCACCTGCTGTGAAAAAAAAAAAAGTTGTTATGTTAAATGTCAAGGCAGAACAAAGCAAAGGCGAGCTATAAGGTTTCAGGAATGAAAACGTCTTGATATTTTTAGACTTCTCTTTCCTGTACTTTCCAAAAAAAAAGCGTGCCCAGGTCAGAGTAACCATGCCTGCCACTTTAAGTTTATCCTGATATAAAATTAAGAAGGGAAGAAGGGAAAGAGCCTTGGTGGCGCAGTGGACTAAAGCGCTGTTAAGTAGCACCAGCTGCCTGCAAATTACTGTGAGTTCAAATCTCACCAGGCTCAAGGTTGACTCAGCCTTCCGTCCTTTCGAGGTAGGTAAAATGAGGACCCGGATTGTGGGGGCAATAAGCTGACTTTGTATAAAATAGAACACCGCTTCGGGGGGGCCAAAAGCCCTACTAAGCAGGTACATACAAAAGTATGAAGGCTATTGCTTAATGCATTGTAAGCTGCCCTGAGGCTCCGGAGAAGGGCGGCATATAAATCGAACCAATAACTAAATAACTAACTAACTAAATAAATAAATAAATAAATTCGTGCATTATTTACAAAAATTAAATTGTGCATATTTACATTCTTATTCTATCTATTACTTATACGTAATAACGATCTATCTTCAATCTACCTCCGTTCTATCCAGTTATACCACTGTTCCCACACATTGTAAAATAGCGATGTCTCTCTATCTTTTAAACTCAGCGTTAATTTGTCCATTTCTGCGCAATTCATGACCTTTTATATGACCAGTTTCTCTGCGGGTGTACATGGCTGTTTCCAACATTGAGCAGTCCTGTTGTGCTTTCAATAACCTTAAACGGTGGTAAAAAGCCTTGGTGGCGCAGCAGACTAAAGCACTGTTAAGTAACACCAGCTGCCTGCAATTACTGCAAGTTCGAATCTCACCAGGCTCAAGGTTGACTCAGCCTTCCATCCTTCCGAGGTAGGTAAAATGAGGACCCGGATTGTGGGGGCAATAAGCTGACTTTGTATAAAAAAAAGAACACCGCTTGGGGGGGGGGGCAAAAAGCCCTACTAAGCAGGTATATACAAAAGGATGAAGGCTATTGCTTAACGCATTGTAAGCCGCCCTGAGTCTCCGGAGAAGGGCGGCATATAAATCAAACCAATCAATCAATCAATAAATGATGTGTGGGAAGCTGTGAAGAGCGGAGGAGAAGGAGGAGATGAAGAAGGTAGACAGCAGAAGGCGGGAGTAGGGGAGGAGGAGGAGGAGGAGGAGGAGGAGGAGGAGGAGGAGGAGGGGGGTCCTTGGTGTTCTCTTAGTGGTTTTCTTGAAGACATTTTGTTACCCAGCTAGGTGACATCATCAGTGGTAGAGGGGACTGGGGTTGGAGGAGGAGGAGGAGGAGGAGGAGGAGGAGGAGGAGGAAGAGGAAGAGGAAGAGAAGGAGAAGGTAGACAGGAGAAGGTGGGAGATGGAGAAGGAGGAGAAGGAGGAGGACTGTGGGGTCCTTGGTGCTCTCTGAACTTGGTGGTTTTCTTGCAGACATTTGATTACTCAAAGTAGGTAACACCATCAGTGCTGGGGGAGGAGGAGGAGGAAGAAGTGGAAGAGGAAGAGGAAGAGGAGGAGGAGAAGGTAGACAGGAGAAGGTGGGAGGAGGAGGAGGAGTGTGAGGTCTTTGGTACTCTCTGGGCTTGGTAGCTTTCTTGCAGACGTTTCATGACCCAATTAGGTAACATCATCAGTGCTAGAAGGGAGTGGAGTTTGTGGAGTGGAGAAGGAGGAGGGAGGAATTACCAAAGTAGATAATATCACCTGGGCTCTCTAGCTCAGAGAGAACCAAGGACCCTACAGTTAAACTCTGAGCTACAAATATTCTCTTCTAATTTGTAATACAAAGCTTGTCAGGTACTCTAAGAATCCCTTCTGAGAACTCTGCAAGTTTGACATCCACATCTCTGAACAGCAACCAGGTTAGAGAAGGTGGGACTCAAGAAATTGATGAAGTTGGAGGCAGCATCTAAATATTCTCCCTCTCTGTCTATGAAGATTCTCAATCATCCAGGATGTGGTTGTCCCAAAGGAGCATTTTTTTTTTTCAAGAGGCAACTGGACTCCCTGGTTTGTCTTCGAAGATGTTTTGCTTCTCATCCAAGAAGCTTATTCAGCTCTGACTGGATGGTGGGGAATGGAACGATTTATACTGATGTCAGGACAAGATTCAGCAGTCCATCTGCGTTTAAAAGACGAAGGCCACTCTTTTGAAGACAGAAAAGTCCACATTTTGGACAGAGAGGACTGCTGGTTTGAAAGAGGGGTCCAAGAGCCCATCTATGTCCCAACTGAACAGCCCTCTCTCAACAAAGAGGAGAGGGATACGACATCATCTATCTCCAGTCTACAACACAATCCTTTCAGCAATTGTTGTGGTCCACCAGCAGTCTGTGGAGCTGGCAGTGGACAGTGAGGAGACTGGGGAGGACAATGGGCCAGTCCTGGAGTCTGGGGAGGGCCCGGACGAGGGCTCTGCGTCGGAGGCAGAGATGGGGCCAGGGCAATCTGGGAGTGATGCGCAGACTCCGGAGCCTCCAGAGTTGGACAACAGAGAGGCAGAGGAACAGGAGGAGTCTTTTCCTAGTGCACTCATGCGAAGAGCTGCCAGAAGGCAAAAGCAGCTAAAGCAAAAAGGACGACTCGGGAGTAAGGCCAGGAGATGATTGGCCTTTCCCATAAGGCTTAAAAGAGCAGCAACGCTCTTGGGCTCTTGGTAGGAAAGCAACATTGCTACATTTGTTTCTTGTCGGCATCTCTTGCTTCTGAACTTAGTGGGGCTTTGCCAAGAAAAGCCTTTGGCAGGGTGCCAAAGAAGACAAAGGTTGGTGATAAGGCCGAAGGACTGTTTATGAAGGATTTGTTTTGGAATTAATTTGGACTAAGCTGAGAATGAAGTAATTCTCAGCTGTTCTAATAAAATATGTTCGTTTAGGACTGATTGCGTCTGGTAATAACTACTTGGGCCTCGGTCACAACAGCAGTTCCATGAAAACTCCATACCAGTGGGTGGGTTCCTCCCGGTTCGGTCCGGTTCGGCCGAGCCGGTAGCGGTGATGATATGACATCACCAAACCAGTTCTCCCCCTCCCCGCCCTCCCACCCTCCCACCCCACCCCCACATTATTCTTACCTTTTATTTGGTCCCACCCCCAATCTATTGCTGCCTCCTGAGTCCCAGCTGATGACTAGAGGGAGAAAAACTGTTTAAACTCTTGCCCCCGAGCTTCAAAGGGCCGCCCTACAGCTGATCAGTGCTAAAAGCAAATAAATGAGTCAGGTCATAAGTGCGAGGACTGATCGTAAGCGTGAGGACCTTCCAGAAATGACTCTGACCAGCTAGCCACGCCCAGCTAGTCACACGACCTCCAAGCCACACCCACAAAATAAGCCACGCCCACAGAACCTGTAGTAAAAAAAAAATTAGAACCCACCCATTTGCACCACTCAGGTGACCCTATCAACACAGACAAAATTCTAAGTGGCCTCAAAGGATGCAAATGACCAGCAGTCTGCAGGGAGTATAAATCTTTCCATTCCCCGCCATCCAGTTGAAGAAGCTTCTTGGATGAGAAGCGAAATGTCTTCAAAGAAAAACCAGAAAGTCCAGTGGCCTCTAGAAAAAGCAGCTTTGGGGCTTCTCCCTCCCTGTGTGTCGCTGCTTATATGGACCAGAAGGTCTGGGGGGGGGGGTCCTTGCCAAAACCTCAAAATCTTTTCTTTGAAAGCCTTCCTTTGAAGCCAAGGGATATGGCTATTACTGTAGACAAAAATCCCCCCCACACACACACACACGGCCCAAATCTCAACGGTATAAACCCTAATCAGGCCTTACTTAAGTCTGTTTGCAGCAAGCTTTGCGTCTGGAGTAACCAGACCTCCGTTGTGGCTTTGGCAAGACCATCCCGTAGCTAAACACCAAAAATTGTTTCTCAATCTCCGACAAGACACGGCCACTTAGAATTAAGGGGAGATTTCCTGACGGTGAGAACAATTAATCAGTGGAGCAATTTGCCTCCAGAGGTTGTGAATGCTCCAACACTGGAGGTTTTTAAGAAGAGGTTGGATAACCATTTGTCTGAAGCGGTGTAGGGTTTCCTGCCTAAGCAGGGGGTTGGACTAGAAGACCTCCAAGGTCCCTTCCAACTCTGTTATTCTATTCTATTCTATTCTATTCTATTCTATTCTATTCTATTCTATTCTATTCTACTCTACTCTACTCTACTCTAGTCTATCCTACCCTACCCTACCCTACCCTACCCTACCCTTATTCTATTCTATTCTATTCTATTCTATTCTATTCTATTCTATTCTATTCTATTCTATTCTATTCTATTCTATTCCATTCCTTTCCTTATTTTATTCTATTCCCTACTCTTACTCTTACTCTTACTCTTACTCTTACTCTTACTCTTACTCGTCTCTTCTTCTCTTCTCTTCTCTTCTCTTCTCTTCTCTTCTCTTCTCTTCTCTTCTCTTCTCTTCTCCTCTCCTCTCCTCTCTTCTCTTGTCTTCTCTTCTTTTCTCTTCTCTTCTCTTTTCCCTTCCCTTCCCTTCCCTTCCACTCCACTCCACTCTGTATTTTCTATTCTATTCTATTCTATTCTATTCTATTCTATTCTATTCTATTCTATTCTATTCTATTCTATTCTATTCTATTCTATTCCTTTCCTTATTCTATTCTATTCCTTTCCTTATTCTATTCTATTCTATTCCCTACTCTACTCT